TTTGTTCTTGATTATATTGAACCGGTACTGGGGGAGGACCAGGTATCCCTTCCCTAGGCTGATTAATAAACTCCTCTACCATGTGGTTCAATCGATCAATGTGTTCTCATAAAAACATATAATCCAGATATTGCCCCGGTGGAGGTTGTTTACGTCTCATTTTATAACCCTACATCCAGAAAAGAATGAATTAGAACATTCCTACTCTTTCAACATCCTAAAAGTTGTAAGAAATCACTTTTAAACTCTAAAACCTCATGCACAAGGGATTATTCTATAAATATGGGCTCTGATACCACTTGTAACACCCCAAACTTGATATGAGGCTCAATTCCTACTCATGTCATTTTCATGCAATTGGCCCACAAAATATACATATACATATGTCAAAATTTATTATACAATCTAGCATTACATGTGATATATATAGTAATTAAATATACAGAATATGATGTCAAAATTTAGAATTTAACAAACGAAATAAAAGTTTTTCAAATATGCACAAAATATACAAAACAGGAACCCTTTTTACATGTTCTACTCATCTGGCAGCGGTTTTGACTCTTCTTTCTCCTTTGAAAAATATCAAGGTGAAATTTAATGAATTTCACCAACTCAATAAATATTTTCGTTCTCTCAACTCAAATAAAATTTAATACAAAATATATAATATGAGACAAATACAATAGTGATGTTTCAATGCAAAATTTTATTTATTATTTTCGCTATTTCACCTGTTTCTGATCGAATTTCTGAATTCTCTCGAATATCATATACAATCCTTAAATATATATTCACATACTCTCGAAAGAACACATATATACTCTCAAATGTCAATTATAGTCTCAAAACATGACCACATAACTACATACATACGAAAGATCATATATACACTCAAAATATCATTTCTAAGGTTTTCATCGCACGATGTCGTTTATGTCGTCATCGAAGAGAGGTAAAATGGATCCCCCATCGCATGGATATCATACACACACAAATCTCACAATGGCCATACCAAGTATGTTTGCTAGGTGAACTCACACTCACAAACATCTATTTACATCTAGATTATATTTTAAACTCTATCCATATGCAGGTTCACTCTGCCCGCTAAACTTCAGCCACACACACACACTCTCTTCCTCAATTCAAACAAATAAAAAAGGGCATTCAGGCTCCAAATTCTAATCACTCGCATCCTCTCATTTCTGATTTCTCATTTAATTTATTCTCATTTTATTTTCTCTAAAATCTTATTTAACATATCGTTTCACTATCATAATTAATCCTTTTTATTTTTATTCGTTTCTTTATGTTATTTTATTTTCTATTTTAACTTTCCATTTAATTAGGAATTTTTTTAAATTTCAAATTCATTTCTCATCATAGTCCAAGTATTCCTCAATCTTTGGGTTTGTTTTCTGGTTTCGTCTCCGCATAATTTTCAATAGTTCAAGTTCACTGATTATAGGTTTGGGTTAAATTCTTCATCGAAAATTTGGTCAGTATCTGTTCAAATTTAAAATATACATAAATTAATAAAATACATGCAAATTTCAAGATTCGGATTTAAGTTCAGAATAAAAAATACTTATAACTCCTTTATGCAACAATCTTCTTAGATCCGCTTGAACGTTCTAATTCACTGAACACACATGATATAGGTTAATTAATATAATTTAAATACTAAGTTTAAGCTAAATTCAATTAAAATCACGGGTTTCAATGACAGCCCGACGAAAATGTCGGGATCCATACTTGGGAAAGTCCTTTCGATTTCTCGTTCAACGAATTGAATTTTCATATTCAAAGAAGACTTTTCAACTTTCCGAACGGTGAATCAAAATCCCAAAACGGTGAATTCGATCTCCATTCATGAGGAAGACCCTTCGGCTTCCATAGGTGGGGGTCGATTTTCCCACTCCCGAGAAAAGCTTCCCAATTCCCGTGCAGGTGGGTGACTCAGACAAGTTCGCGTGGCCAGTCCGACACTAGCCCCGCTCTACCGCCACTCAACAGCCACCGAAAACATGAAAAAAAAGAAAGCTTTAGCTTTCCGGTGTGGGGCGATTCGACCTCAGTTTGGCTCTCGATGGTCTCCTCTCAGCCACCCCACCTCTCCCTAACTTATTTGAGATTCGGATGATGATTTTTTTAAACCCACTAATCGATTAATGTAAAATAGAAAATGATTGAAAGAGAAAAGAGGAAGAAAAATGAAAAAAAATAAAATAAAATCTTCTTACCTTCCTTGCGTCGATCTCCATTGTTGCATGATATCTCGGCCGATTCTTCTTCGTCTTTCTTCTTTTTGGCTCAGCTTCCACCACTCTCCCGTCTCCACCTCTCTCTTCTTTCCTTTTCTTCCCTTGCGGCGGTCGTTCTTGGCTCCCCTTCTCTTTTCTGCTCAGCCACTCCTCTTTCTCTTCTCATTCACATTTGATCACTCCTCTCTTCTCTTCTCTTCCCTTTTTTTTTCTTCTCCTTTCCCTTTTTCTTTTCAGGCCTCTCTCTTCTTTTCCTCTCTTTCTTCCTTCCTCTCAGCTTCCCTCGCGCGATAACCTTTTCCTTATCTCTCCCTGATTGGCTCTTCTCTTCTTCTCCCTCTCTCTTTTTTGGCTACTCTCACAAATGAAGAGAAATCCTAATTTTTTTTTTATACCCATTCTCCCAACCGTTAGATCTCGCTAGCTCAATTTGGATCGTCCGTTCTCCATTAAATCCCAGCCATTTGATCTTCTCAGACGGTTGAATCAAAACAATCTGTTCTCTATTTTTTTTTTCTCCCTTCTACTTTTATTTATTTATTTTTTACCCATCTTTTTCCTTACTTGTTTTTATTTAAGTCTTTTAAATTAATTAAAACTCTCAAAATTATTAAAATCCTTTCATTTAAATTTAAATTTTAATTTATTAAATTTTACATATTCTTTCCTTTAATTTAGGAGTTGGATGTTACATTAATACCTTTTTAAAAACTCTCTCAAACTCGATCTAGCTCATTCGAATATGGTGAGACATTATTGATTTGTTCAGCCGCGATGGAACCTTTTAGATTTCTCATATTTACTATGAGGATATTTCATGCACTAATTAATTAGTGCATTAGAAGAATTATATCTTCCTTAGTTGTTTTGTCTTTACTAAAACCCCTCTTGACCTTCATATTCACTTTTGTCTGTACTGTTCGAACATAATTGATCGGTCATTAATGTATCAAGAATCTACTTGATACATGCAAGGTAGAATGGTCTTTTTCATTGTAACAACTATAAATAAGATTAGGATTTTGAAACATAAAACATAAACAAAAGGGATCCTTACCTAATCATCCTACCTACATTTCAAAACTGTTACAATCTCATGACTCGCCTAAATAAGTACTCATCATTGTATCTTATAAATATGCATGAATTAAATGAATGAAGCATCAAAAAATTATTGAAATCAAAATATTTTTTCTCTCAAATCTCATCGGCCCTCACCTTTTGTTGTATCTGTCTCTCTCTCTTCTAGATTTTTTTCTCAAACCATGTCTTAGATTCACGATATAATGCTTGTGTTGTTATTTCTTTTCTCTCATTTTAACTATAAAAAAAAAAAAAATACAAGATAGACTACCTTTTAAGATGAGTATATATATAATTAGATAGACATAATCCTAGCAATTTTCAATTGAATCTTAAGGTCAAGGAAAGCTATTCAATACTTGGGGTCTATATTCGCAATATATATTTTTGTGTTTGGGCTAAGAATAAGAATCGAAATTTGCAGCCCAACTGGCTTCTTTTGTATCTAAGAATTAAGAATAATAAATCTTTCAACATTGTAGGCTGAAAAGGGAAATTTCAGGTGGGCTCGCAAAAGCCCTCTTCTTTTGACTTTTAATATTCACAATTACACCGTTTGTTTTCCCAATTCCCCCACATGTATATATAATGTGTACAAATATTTTAAATTAAAGTGAATTTAAATCCAGATAAAAAAAATAACACAAGGTATAAATTGGATTGTCTGATCAATGCCCAAAATCTTGTATTTTTATATTAAAAATATTAATTAAAGTATAGAGAATTTCTAGTATCTTTATATTTAATGTACATATTCAACAATATAGTAGTTTAGTAGTTAAAGATTGATTATTTTACTAATGTATTATGAATTATCAGTAATCATCTTGTAATTCGTTATTTAATATAATTAAAAACACACTATCAATGAAATTGCAGTTACAAGATAAAAGAAGCAGGTTGCTCCCAATTTCCACATATATACATGTACATGTAAATGTATGTATTTGCGTGTATATGCTGCTACTTAGTAATTGAATAAAAATATTTTAAATTAAAGTGAATTTAAATCAAGATAAAAAATAAAACAAAGTGTAAATTGGCTGATAAACTTGTATCTTTTTAGCATGCAAAAGGGAACATAGATAACCCATTTAGTTTAATTCTTTCGGGTTAATTTGTAATTTTTATATTAAAAATATTAGTCACTGAAATACTTTTAAAGTGTGGTAGTATGTAAGTAATAACATAATATAATAATTTAGTAGTTAAAATTTATTATTTTATAAATATATTATAAAGTAATAATAATTTATTTATAATATTTAATTTTTTAAAAAAATTAAAAATTTAACTTATGAATGGAATTACAATGATATAGTTGAGTTAAAAGAAGAAAAAAAAAATTAAGTTGACTCGGTAGTAATATGACTAAAACTCCATTTTTGTTATACCTAATCCGAATCTGATTAGTTAGTGATCAATACATATTTATACTACTAAGCTCAAATCAAATCAGCTGTGAACTCCATATAAACACATATACATACACACACACACGTACATGGTGTAAAATTTTTGGGGGGTTATTGAAAATTAATGAAGTGAAGCTATTTGGGTTATTGAAAATTGTTGCTTTTATTAATTACATCAACATTTATGTATTTGTATAAAAATTAGTAAAAAAACAAGTAAACGTGAATTTCATTTCTGTTATTTGTATATTCATTCATATACACTGTAAAAAGCAAAACTTACTATTACTGCTCTCTAATTTTACAACCTCCTCGTAATTTATATTTCAAAAAAGGAAACCGAAAAGTCAACTGTCCGGACGTAGGCATATTTGGTAATTTAATTTTTACGAGAACTAAGATAATGGTAATAATTACTATTATTTTGATTATAATTTTTTATTTTCCTAAAATAACCAACCCCCTTCCACCAACAACGCCTCCTCTTCGGGGAGACGGCCGTCACGTTACTACTCACGTGGGCCCTAGTTTTCTTCACCAGCCCCCGCACCTCCGGCGGCTTGTAGTTCCTGATCAACGGCCACTTTATCCCATCGAAGAACGGGTGCCGTTTAATATCCTGTGCACCCCACGTGCACCCTAGCCTCTTCCTTGGATCCTTCGCCAGCAGCTTCCCAATCAAGTCTCTGGCCTCGGCCATGCCTTCCTCCTCTTTCTCCGCCACGTAGAAGCTTACCTGCCTTGTCGACGCTATATTGCGCAGGGTGCTCTCTTTGCTCCCTCCCTTAAATGGCGTCGTCCCGTACAGGAGCTCGTAAACGAACACCCCGAACGCCCACCAGTCCACTCCGTTACCGTGACCATTGCCGGAAACTAACTCCGGCGCCAAGTACTCGTGGGTTCCCACGCATGACCTTGAAAACGCCGTTACCGGCTCAGCTGCGAACTCAGCCACGATCTCATCACCCGGTTCCTTACCCGCACCGAAACAACCGGAGCTTCTTCCGCGCGTGGACCCGACATTAACGACCCGGGTACTGAAAGTGGGGACCACGTCGGCCTTGAAGCACAAATCGAAATCGGACAACATGATATGGCCGTCCTCGCGCAGTAAAATGTTTTCCGGTTTTAGATCCCGGTAAATAATCCCTAGCGCGTGTAAATACTCCAACGCAACTAGAACCTCGGCGGCGAAGAATCTCACGGCCTGAACCGGTAGCCGGTTGCCGGGCTGCTTACGGAGAAGAGAGTGAAGGTCACCATTAGGGCAGTAGTCGATTAAGAGACAGGTGTAGTGGGAGACTTCCATGTGAGCATAGAGTGTAGGGAGGAAAGGGTGGTCGAGCACGGAGAGAATCTCAGCTTCGGTTTGCACGTGAGAAAGCTTCTTCGCGGTAAGGGAGTCTCTGTCGATGACCTTTATGGCGAAGGTGGCGGTACTGCAGTCCCTTAGGTGGCAGAGGAATACACGGCCAAGGTTGCCAGTACCCAGATGGCGTACTAGCTTGAGATGACGGAGATGGAGGGTTCCGTCGGAGGAAAGGGTGGTGGCCGCCTTGATAGCGGACCAATGTGGGTCGGATTTACGATGGCGGAGAGCGTTGGTGGTAGCGGCGGTGACAACGTTGGTGGTGGAGGTGTTGGAAAGACGGTCATTGAAGCTGAGAGTGAGGCTGGAACGGGCAAGACTGGAGCGGGCACTGGAAGAAGCAAAAGTTCGGTCTGTGAAAGTAGAGGTAAAGCTGAGGTCGAGATCAGTATCGGGGAAGACGGGTGTCCTCGTCCATGGTAACTGAGAAAGTGTTTTGGAAAGGGATTTTTGTGGAGAAGACTTTTTATGAAGTAGGGTTATATAAAGAGAAGATCGAGAGAGAGAGAGAGAGAGAGAGAGAGAGAGAGAGAGAGAGAGAGGGCGAGAGAGAAAGAGTGGGAATTAATTAATTAACGTGTTGGGTTGACCCAACTGTAGTAGTGTGGAAACTGCGAGAGATAGAGAGAGAGAAAGGGAGATGAGATGGGGTTAGGTTGACCAAACTGGGTTTTGATTTGCATGTAGAATAAAAATTTGGAAAAGAAAAAGTTGCAGAGAAATCGAGGGTGGTTTTTGGAAATGAAATAGGCAGGGACAGAAGAGGTGACGAAAGAGAGTGAAGATGGTGATGATGTTATTTTCAAGGATGAAATGCATTTATAATTCCATTAATGGTCTGGAGATGCTTTTATATCATTTGATTAATGCTTCATCAGTCTCCCACAGCTTGCACAAAGCTGGCTCAAAAGTTAACTATCTTTATGCAACTTTTCTGGTTCATTTTAACAATTTGTAGCTTCACTTACGAGCCAGTGCCATATAGTTTATAAATGATGCTTATATGATAAAAAAAAAAATTTATCCAGTTATCAAAACTTTTATAGATATTATGAATCTGTCAAGTAGTACATACACGTAAATATATGTAACCAGTAGACCCCGTATATGACACAACATCAAATGATTCCTTACCACTATTCATTGTGTGAATTTTTTCAATTTTGATTTGTCTTACTTTATCCACTGTATAAACCTAACTTCTCCAAGTAGTTATGTGTAGTTACTAGCAGAGACTACAAAAAATCAATTGCCAAAAGTATTGTTGATAAATAACGAACATCGTGAAAAAGAATATTTCATTGCATTACTTAAATTTCCTTTCACTATGTTCTTCGTATCCTTTTCTTACTAGTTTAGGTGTTAGGGTAAAATTAAAAGTTATTACTGTATCTGTTATAATAAATTCAAGTAATAAAAAAATACATACAAACTGATTTATTTTAAAACACCGTTAATCTTCTAAGTTATTAAAAAAAACTGTATATTCTAAGTAAACATCGTATGTTAATCCGGTGAATATGAGAATTAGTTAGTACTCTAATTAATGACGTTAACTTTTTTATTTGATACTAATTAAGAAAATTAAGTAAAAGTATCTAATTTAAAATTACATAAATCTTAAAAGTATTAGATTCTTAAAATTCATATTTGATAATAGTTAACACAAAATTATTATATAAATCAACAAGCAATGACCTTACTTGGTTGAAGGAATGAATTAAGAAACTACAAAGAATATTATGATTAGAAATTCAAAGTATGACTGTTTGGGTTTTGTGTGTATATATATATATTTATAACCTGATTGTAAGGTCATTGCCAAACATTTTTAGGTAGGAATCTTTCGATATTAATGCCTTCCTAATTTCATTATTGAAAATAGATAGAATGCTTTTGAAATCAAACCTAATATTTAATTAAAACATGTGCTTCATAATAAATTGTACGGGCTAGGAATATGATGGTGAAAATTTAATTATTATTATTATTTTTTACATTGTATCATTTAAATAAAGAAAAAAAGAAGACAGAGAAATCATCAAGTTCCGAATTAATTTTCCCCATTTGGGTAAGCAGTGAAATAGGAAAGTGGGATATATGGGCCAATACGAGGGGTTCTTACCTCAGTTGGGACCCACGAGGAAGAGAGGGAGGAGGAGGATGCTGTCTGCCACGTGGTATGCAAGTGGGGTCCGCATTGTCTGGTTTATTTAAATTAATATTTGTAATTAATTATTAAATAAAATATTAGTGTATAATTGATCAATAATGGTATTTCAAGTTTTTTTTCAACTCCCAAAAAACCAAGTAATTAAGTGATGATGCTAATAATGGTGGGCAGAGAAAATTATGAAGCTGTCGTCGTCGTCCCCTCGTGATCGGAGGAGAGAGAAGATGGAGCTGCCCATTTTTTTTGAAGATCCAAAAATTTAATTTTTAATGTTTTAAAAAATATGATTTATGAGAACCCATTAATATAATTTATTTATTTATTTATTTTTCAAAAAGAAAAAGAGGTAGGACGTTGAAGATGCCAAATTAATTTCCTTCAAAAAAGTTGGATATATTTTCTTAGCTTTCAAAATCATTTTTATACATTTATACCCATTCGAAGTTACTTGTAAATTCATATTTGATTTATTAAATTATATTTCTTAAATATTAATACCTAACACTTTCTTAAGGAGGACTTGTGTAGTAAATTTAATTACTTTCTTAAGCTCGGATATTAATTTATTCGATTATAACATTTAAATTTTAAACAAATTTAATAGTAAGGTTACAACTCTATATATATATACATTAATAAAGAAGTAAAAAAATATTTGAGTTAATTAATTTACGAGGCAACAAGATCTCTTGAAAAATCATGCTCAGCGTTAACCACTAATATATCGTCATTAACAATGAAAACCCACTAAGTCATTAGGGATACAAGAACTATCCCAAGATCCCTCTCTTAAATATCATGTTTATTCGTTAATGTATCCCTAAATACATATATATATATATATATAATGCAAGTTGAGTAGTGAAGTACAAACCATGTGCGTGGCACGAGGCAGTACAGATTAAACATGCGTATATATATATATATATAGACTTTAGCTTCTGAAGTTGGAGAAAGATTTGTCAAGTGGATCACCACCACTTAATCTTGTTTGTTATCTCTCATTTTTTTTCTTCTCTAGATATTTATTCCATCGTGTCTTTGTCTCAGGTTAATTTGACCATTAACCCAACATATATATATATATATATATATATAGATTCAGATTATAACCAGTAAAAGCATATATTATATTCGCCCTCTTTATTGAAATTAAGAACATGTTCAGGGCTTTCGAATATGTTCCATTAATGGGTCATCATGTCCTACAAAGGTTAATACATACATATATGTATGTGCATTTACATGGGTAGGAGGAGGAGAGAAATAAAGAAAAAAGACAGAAGAAGAGGAATGGGAGAGATGTAGGAATAGATGGGGACTGGTTGAAGTGGGGCAGTTTGTAGAGCCAGGTGGCAAGCGCACGTGCCTCCAACCTATTGAAATATTCCTGTTTTATAATATTTTCTTGTTTATATTCGTACAAATTATTAAATTATTTTTTTGAAATTCAACATTTATTATGATTTGGTTTCTACTATTTATTATTATTATTATTAATATTCTTTTTACTACAGTTCAATCTTTATTGTTTTCTATATATTTTAAATAAAATATTTTTTAAATTATTTAAAAAATACTAAAAAATAATTTTTACTAATTAATTAAATTAATAACAATAAGTAATATGTTATAATAAATGTTAAATTTTACAAACTAATTTAATAATTTATTCTTAAAATTTTTTAGATATATTTTAATAAATAAGTGCTATCTAAATACCAATAACTATATAAATTAACTTCCTGACAAAAAATAAAAAATAATAAGTAGAAATACCCAAATCATTAATATGTATAAGTAGAAAACATCCAAATCACGGATGGTTAATTTGTCAAATAGTTTTTAAACAAGAAGTTTGTCCAAACAATCCTCCCTCGTCTGGACATGTGTGAGTGTTTTGATGGGCCCTGAAAATTAGGCCCAACAACAATCACATGAATCGACATCACCAGAAAACACTCGCCGGACAACATCACCTGATTTCCAAATTGGACAAAATCATTCACATACACTACCAACTAATTTCATAATTATGTTATGTTTGTAATTATTAAAAAAATAAAATTATAATTACGTTTTTTTTTTTAAATAATTAAAAGAATATCATAATATTATAATAAGAATTAGTAATGAATATAATATTACGTCAAATTTTCTTGGTTCATATATTATTGCTGAAAGTTTCTCACTCATTTGCAAAGTTTATGCTAACTTATAAAAAAATAAAATTGCATATTTGATGTGTTTCGGTAGTAGTTTAATAGTTAAGATTTTTATATTTTATTTAAAAATTATAAATTTGAATATCATCGATAATATAAAATTTATTATTTGGTAAACGTATGATGAATTATTGTTTTAATAAAATTAAAATTACAGTAATTCATTAGTATATTAATAAAATTACAATAGATTTAGTTCTAGTGAATCATTTATATTTTTTTAAAAATAAATATTTTATAATAATTAGATTTTTTTTAATTATAATAATCACAACATATATAAAAATCAAAATTAACTTTTTTATTTTTCAAAAGAGAAAAATAATGGTGGAGAATAAATAATATATTTTCGTACTCATTTAAATTATTTTTTTTTAAAAAAAATCTTATAATTTTTATAAGAGATGTAAATATTAAATATAATATAATTTTTTAATAAAAACACATAAAAATGTATATTTTCAACTCAATTTTTTTTTATAAAAAAATTAGAAATACTAATTATTAAAAAATAATTAGCCACTCATACCCTATTTGGTTTTTCGTTTTGTTTTTTGTTTTTTTTTTAAGAACAAGTTATATCATATTTGTTGTATATAGTTAGTTATATAATTGCTTTTGTCCCTTAAAATAAGGACAAAAAATAAATAAATAAAAAAAAGGAAAAGAAAATTAGTTTGGAAAACTAATAATTGGGAAAATGATAGTTTGTCAGTAGTTACATGAATTGGCAGCTACTAATATTTAATTAAATACCCTCCATTTTTTTTCTCTCTTTGCCTTTTTCTTGGTACAATGAATCCATCCTTCATTTATTATTTTTATATTATCTCCACTTTTTTAATTTATTTGCTTTTTCAAAGCCTTCCATAATAATTTAATTATACCCCTACCCCTTCAAAGTCCCAAGTTGAATGTCAAATCAATTTTCAATAATCACTTATTATATATAATTAACATTCTTAATTAGGAAACTAACCCAATCATTGACTTGGATCTCATAAACTATATGCAAAAAAGCACAAATACATAGAATCAACCTTACTTTCCCTTTTTCTTTCTTACAACAATTATTTATTAACCAGGTGTCTCATCTCAAC